TAAGCTATCAGCAACAGAACAGGCACACGGGATACCCGGAGATGACAACAACCGGAAGTTACAACATGCTTACCGCAATAGTGGTCCGTCCAGAATAAGTTCAGTGTAACCACATTAGTTTCCAAATCGATCAGTAAGCAATTCGAATTTTTAGCCTTAAATATAGAAGTGGCAAAGGGTCAACAAGTCATGGTGGTGGGCTGTTACAGACCCCCCTCAGCTGTCAAAGACTCCTTGTCTTCACTAGCAAATCTTTTATCTCAACTAGACTACAAGGAAATAGTGCTACTTGGAGATTTTAACTGGGACTGGTTAACTGCAGTGTCAGAGGATTTTAAAAACCTTTGTATCTCTTTGAATGTTACTCAGATTGTGGACAGTCCTACTCGCCCTAATATTAAGTCCCCTAATAAATCCTCCTTAATTGATCTCATTCTAACTAATGTTCCCTATAAATACTCATCTGTGGGAGTATTTGCAAATGATCTGAGTGATCACTGTGTTGTAGCCACAATTAGGGACACTAAGGTCCAAAAGGTTAATCCTCGTATTATCATCAAGAGAGACATAAAACATTTTGTTGAGCAGGGTTTTGTGCATGATCTGTTTGGGTTTGATTGGGGTAAAATCGATCTGTGTGCTGATGTGGAAACCGCATGGGCTTATTTTTATCTTGGTTTTATGGAGATCATTGATAGACATGCACCCCTGCGTACATTTAGAGTAAAGGGACGAGACAATCTTTAGTTTTCTGCTAATCTGTCCAGTCTCCTGCATGAGAGAAACAAGGCCTGGGCAAAGGCTAGGCAATCAGGCTCAGAGGTAGAGTGGCTGCGTTTTAGGCAGCTAAGGAATAGCTTCACTTCACATGTTCAAAAGTGCTAAATCAAAGTACTATCTGTCAGTTTCCACAGAAAACCTAAATAATCCTAGGACATTTTGGAAAGCCATAAAATCGATATCCACCGGTGAGATCCGTAATGAGCTACCTCCGTGCCTTACCACAGCATCTGGCTCTATATCGGACAGGGCTACTATGCTAAATTGCTTTAATGAGCATTTTGTGTCCTGTGGTTCTCTATTTGATTCTGTCACTAACTCTGCTGCTGTGAACACTACAGTATGTGACTCTGAAAAACGTGTGTTGGAAAACCCTTTTAGTTTTACCCCTTTTACTGTTGATGTTGTTCGTGAAGCTTTAACCAAGTCAGATCCTAAGAAACCGGCCGGCCCGGACAATTTAGAACCTTTCTTTTTAAAGATAGCTGCAGATTGTATTGCTCCACCTCTCACTACTCTTTTTAACCTCTCCCTCAGCACGAACACAATTCCAAAAGTATGGAAGTCAGCGTATGTCCTGCCTTTGCTAAAAGGAGGGGAGGCCACCTTATTAAACAACTATAGGCCAATCTCTAAGTTGTCAGTTCTGGCGAAGGTTCTTGAACGCTTAGTGAGAGAACAGGTAAAGGTGTTTTTATGTACAAATGACATCCTGTCTAAACATCAGTCAGGCTTCAGAAAGAGACACAGCACCATCACTGCCACAATGAAAGTGGTGAATGACATTACTAGTATTTTAGATAATAAGCAGAGTTGTGCAGCTCTATTTATTGACCTGTCCAAAGCGTTTGATACCGTCGATCATCACATCTTAAAGTAGAGGCTACTCAGTATCGGCATATCCAGCCATGCAGTGGGTGGTTTGTGAACTACCTCTCTGCAAGGTCCCTATGTGTTCACTTTGATGGGCTGTCTTCTGAGTGGTTAAACATTGCTAATGGTGTTCCTCAAGGTTCTGTTTTAGGTCCACTTTTATTCTCCATATCAACAGTTTAGGTGAAAATGTGGATGAAGCTACTTTACATTTGTATGCGGATGATACCGTGATGTACTGTGCAGGTCCCTCCATTCAGGAGGCTGGTGTTAAATTACAGGCTGTTTTTAACATTATTCAGACTCAGCTCTCTGAACTTAAAGGTGACATGTCATGCTTTTCTGGTTAGTACCCGTCCCCTTGTGTGTTATGAAGGTTTTTATGCATGTAAACGGTGTGCAGAGTCAAAACCCTCAAAGTACACCATGTAGGGAGTAAAACTCTAAAACAGAAAATACCTCCCCAAAACGCCTCGTTGGAGATACGTCACTGTCCATTTGATTCTTCCGAGGACATCATGATGTCATGTCATCCCCGGAACGAAATGGACCAATCAGTGGAGCCGTTACGTTACGTCCGCGGAGCCGTTACGTTAAGCCCCCGCTGATTGGTCCAAATTGACCAATCCACGGACTTCCTCACACACTCAGTGCAGGCAGCTCTGCTGATCTCTCCTCCCTGGCTGCAGGCTGATAATAGACAGTTGGGATCGCGGCGAAATTCTCACTGCAGACCTATTCTCTCTGTAGACCCATTCTCTCTGTAGACCCATTCTCTCTGCAGACCCATTCTCTCTGCAGACCCCATTCTCTCTGCAGACCCATTCTCACTGCAGACCTATTCTCTCTGTAGACCCATTCGTCTCTGTAGACCCTTCTCTCTGCAGACCCATTCTCTCTGCGACCCGTTCTCTCTGCAGACCCATTCTCTCTGCAGACCCATTCTCACTGCAGACCTATTCTCTCTGTAGACCCATTCTCTCTGTAGACCCATTCTCTCTGCAGACCCATTCTCTCTGTAGACCCATTCTCTCTGCAGACCCGTTCTCTCTGCAGACCCGTTCTCTCTGCAGACCCTTTCTCACTGCAGACCCATTCTCTCTGCAGACCCATTCTCTCTGCAGACCCATTCTCACTGCAGACCCATTCTCTCTGCAGACCCGTTCTCTCTGTAGACCCGTTCTCACTGCAGACCCGTTCTCTCTGCAGACACCGTTCCTCCTTCTGGCAGACCCATTCTCGCTGCAGACCCATTCTCTCTGCAGACCCATTCTCTCTGCAGACCCATTCTCTCTGCAGACCCATTCTCTCTGCAGACCCATTCTCTCTGCAGACCCATTCTCTCTGCAGACCCATTCTCTCTGCAGACCCATTCTCTCTGCAGACCCATTCTCTCTGCAGACCCATTCTCTCTGCAGACCCATTCTCTCTGCAGACCCATTCTCTCTGCAGACCCTTCTCTCTGCAGACCCATTCTCTCTGCAGACCCATTCTCTCTGCAGACCCATTCTCTCTGCAGACCCATTCTCTCTGCAGACCCATTCTCTCTGCAGACCCATTCTTCTGCAGACCCATTCTCTCTGCAGACCCATTCTCTCTGCAGACCCATTCTCTCTGCAGACCCGTTCTCTCTGCAGACCCATTCTCTCTGCAGACCCGTTCTCTCTGCAGACCCATTCTCTCTGCAGACCCATTCTCTCTGCAGACCCATTCTCTCTGCAGACCCATTCTCTCTGCAGACCCATTCTCTCTGACAGACCCGCATTCTCTCTACAGACCCGTATTCTCTGCAGACCAGTTCTCCTCTCTGCAGACCACATTCTCATCTGCAGACCCCTTCTCACTGCAGACCCTTCTCTCTGCAGACCCCTTCTCGACTGGTCAGACCCAACCTTCTTCTCTCTTGCAGTACCCATCTCTCTTGCAGACCCATTCATCCTCCTGTAGGACCCCATTCTCTCGTGCTACCCGTTACTCCAGATTCTCCCCGTCCGCAGACCCCTTCTCTCTGCACCAGACCCAATTCTCTCTGCAGACCCATTCTCACAGCGTTATATACCTTTTGTCTTACTCAATATCAAGCCCACACTTATTGTTTTTACTTCGGCTGTGACTTTGTGTGTGCTCAGGATGAGTTTGGATGTGTTTCGCTGTGTATCGCTAAACAAGGAAATCACACCTCCACGGAGCTTAGCGCGATTCACAACGTCCCGACTGGTCCCGACCAATCAGAGCACACTGGGCTCACAGGGAGGGGGGGGGGGGGGCAAGAGCTGCAACGAGCCGTTTAGTGGAGAGAGTGAATACACGTAGTTTACAGAGATGCTGTATGCGAAACCAATGTGAGTTTGGAAAATTGCACTGTATACATCTATTCTAGTAGACCTCAACAATGGAATTATGATCAGTGGAAATGGCCATGACAAGTGACCTTTAAGCTTCTTTTAAATATTGAGAAAACCAAGGCAATGCTCTTTTCTAAAGCTAAAAAGACACCAGAGCCTGTTTTAGATATTGTAACTACGCAAGGAATAAAACTTGAAGTGGTTACCTGTTATAAATACCTTGGTATCTGGCTTGATGATTGTCTCACTTTTAAACTTCATGTCAATAACCTGCTTAAAAAGCTGAGGGTTAGGCTAGGTTTCTTCTACAGGAACAAGTCCTGTTTCTCTCTTGAGGCCAGGAACAGGCTCTGTGACCTTTGACCTGTGCTGGACTCTGGTGATCTGATCTATATGAATGCACCTGCCCATTGCCTGAACAAGTTAGATGCTGCATATCACAGCGCACTGAGATTTGTTACTAACTGTAAAGCACTTACTCATCACTGTACCCTGTATGCAAGGGCTGGTCTGCTTTCACTAACTGTACGGAGGCTCAGTCACTGGTACATTTTTATATACAAAGCCATGTTAGAGAAACTTCCATCTTATATCTGCTCCCTGATCTCACGGAGAATTGTAAGTGGCTACTGCCTGAGATCGCATGCTGTAGTTTTATTAAATGTGCCAACTGCTAGGACTGTCTTAGGGAAGACAGCTTTTAGATGCGCAGCTCCTCTGTCTTGGAACAGTCTGCAAATTAAATGGAAACTGAGCAATCTGGTGCCACTAAATGTTTTTAAAGCTCGGTTGGATGCGACTCAATCGGAAGCTGTTGGTACCTGTTTATGTGGATAATTATGTAAATGATGCTGTATGATGTCCTTCTGTTGTTCTATTTATGTGTTTATGTTTCATGTGGAACTACTTGAGCAGGTCTCCCTTGGAAAAGAGATCAATGATCTCAATGGGATTTATCTGTATAATTAAAGGTTTGAAATGAAATGATTTAATCTGAACACCTTTATTTAATCTGAACACCTTTATTTAATCTGAATTGAACATGTTGAAGTTAGTTTCAAGTTTCAATGAATCAGCTGCACTCTCTCTGTCCGGCAGCTGATTGGTTACTGTGTCTCTGTCCGGCAGCTGATTGGTTACTGTCTCTCTGTCCGGCAGCTGATTGGTTACTGTCTCTCTGTCCGGCAGCTGATTGGTTACTGTCTCTCTGTCCGGCAGCTGATTGGTTACTGTCTCTCTGTCCGACAGCTGATTGGTTACTGTCTCTCTGTCCGGCAGCTGATTGGACAGTGTGTGTTCGGGGTCGTTTGCTGGGCGGCTGCTCTGATTGGTCGGCATCTCTGAACCCGTCGGAGGTGATCTGGTATTGGACGGTGGCTCCGGGGTGACCAGGGGATTTAAAGATGGTGGCTAGTCGTTGAGTCCCCGCCCATTGTAGGAGGAGTCTGATGGTGGGGGCGTGGCCCCAGCTCTCCCCGAGGGCGGGGACGAGCTGTGATTGGCCGCCCCGCAGCCTGGTTGTCATCTGATTGGTAATCACCATAGCGACGTTGTGGCTGGTTGCCATGGCGATGAGCTGCTGGGCAAGGCCGTTGAGGAGGCGGGTCCTCTGCGACAGCTCGTCAAAGTGCAGCCGGAACGGGAACGCCACGCTGTCAATCACCAGGAGGCGGGCCCTCGGGTGCTCCGACAGGAAGTCCGGCAGCAGGTGCAGCTCGGCCAGCAGCTCCACGTAGTCATGGCAACGCACCTGAGGAGAGATAGACAGATCAGAGTCACGTGAGAAGCCGAGTGACATCATTGCCTCCGTGCCGATCATTACCAGGAAGATGTTAGAAAGGATGGTTTCCACGCTGAAGGTCGTCATAGCAACCCGCTGTTCGTCGTCTTCCACTAATAAGGCGCAGTGTTTCACCACGGCGCCGGCGATGTCCTGGACCCGCTGCAACAGGAAACTGCCCTCCGTATCCACGACAACCACCTGGCCTCCGAGACCCCCAAAACACACAGGAACCTGCACGTCCACCGCCAGCTGCAGACTGAAGAACTACATTACCTACAGAACTACATTACCTACAGAACTACATTACCCAGCTGCAGACTGAAGAACTACATTACCTACAGAACTACATTACCCAGCTGCAGACTGAAGAACTACATTACCTACATAACTACATTACCTAAAGAACCACATTACCTACAGAACTACATTACCCAGCTGCAGACTGAAGAACTACATTACCTACAGAACTACATTACCTAAAGAACTACATTACCCAGCTGCAGACTGAATAACTACATTACCTACAGAACTACATTACCTACATTACCTATAGAACTACATTACCTATAGAACTACATTACCTAAAGAACTACATTACACAGCTGCAGACTGAAGAACTACATTACCTATATAACTACATTACCTACAGAACTACATTACCCAGCTGCAGACTGAATAACTACATTACCTAAAGAACTACATTACCCAGCTGCAGACTGAAGAACTACATTACCCACTGATCTACATTACCTAAAGAACTACATTACCTACAGAACTACATTACCCAGCTGCAGACTGAAGAACTACATTACCTATAGAACTACATTACCTACAGAACTACATTACCTATGGAACTACATTACCCAGCTGCAGACTGAAGAACTACATTACCTACAGAACTACATTACCTATAGAACTACATTACCTAAAGAACTACATTACCTACATTACCTATAGAACTACATTACCTATAGAACTACATTACCTAAATAACTACATTACCCAGCTGCAGACTGAAGAACTACATTACCTATAGAACTACATTACCTACAGAACTACATTACCCAGCTGCAGACTGAATAACTACATTACCTAAAGAACTACATTACCCAGCTGCAGACTGAAGAACTACATTACCCACTGATCTACATTACCTAAATAACTACATTACCTACAGAACTACATTACCCAGCTGCAGACTGAAGAACTACATTACCTATAGAACTACATTACCTACAGAACTACATTACCTATGGAACTACATTACCCAGCTGCAGACTGAAGAACTACATTACCTACAGAACTGAATTACCTATAGAACTACATTACCTAAAGAACTACATTACCTACAGAACTACATTACCTACAGAACTACATTACCTATAGAACTACATTACCTACAGAACTACATTACCTATAGAACTACATTATCTACAGAACTACATTACCTATAGAACTACATTACCTACAGAACTACATTACCCAGCTGCAGACTGAAGAACTACATTACCTACATAACTACATTACCTACATAACTACATTACCTACAGAACTACATTACCCAGCTGCAGACTGAAGAACTACATTACCTATAGAACTACATTACCTACAGAACTACATTACCTATAGAACTACATTATCTACAGAACTACATTACCTATAGAACTACATTACCTATAGAACTACATTACCTACAGAACTACATTACCCAGCTGCAGACTGAAGAACTACATTACCTACATAACTACATTACCTACAGAACTACATTACCCAGCTGCAGACTGAAGAACTACATTACCTACAGACCTACATTACCTATAGAACTACATTACCTAAAGAACTACATTACCTACAGAACTACATTACCTACAGAACTACATTACCTACAGATCTACATTACCTAAAGAACTACATTACCTACAGAACTACATTACCCAGCTGCAGACTGAAGAACTACATTACCTACAGAACTACATTACCTATAGAACTACATTACCTAAAGAACTACATTACCTACAGAACTACATTACCTACAGAACTACATTACCTATAGAACTACATTACCTACAGAACTACATTACCCAGCTGCAGACTGAAGAACTACATTACCTACAGAACTACATTACCCAGCTGCAGACTGAAGAACTACATTACCTACATAACTACATTACCTAAAGAACCACATTACCTACAGAACTACATTACCCAGCTGCAGACTGAATAACTACATTACCTACAGAACTACATTACCTACATTACCTATAGAACTACATTACCTATATAACTACATTACCTAAAGAACTACATTACCCAGCTGCAGACTGAATAACTACATTACCTACAGAACTACATGACCTACATTACCTATAGAACTACATTACCTATAGAACTACATTACCTAAAGAACTACATTACCCAGCTGCAGACTGAATAACTACATTACCTACAGAACTACATTACCTACATTACCTATAGAACTACATTACTTATATAACTACATTACCCAGCTGCAGACTGAAGAACTACATTACCTATAGAACTACATTACCTACAGAACTACATTACCTATGGAACTACATTACCCAGCTGCAGACTGAAGAACTACATTACCTACAGAACTACATTACCTAAAGAACCACATTACCTACAGAACTACATTACCCAGCTGCAGACTGAAGAACTACATTACCTATAGAACTACATTACCTACAGAACTACATTACCTATGGAACTACATTACCCAGCTGCAGACTGAAGAACTACATTACCTACAGAACTACATTACCTATAGAACTACATTACCTAAAGAACTACATTACCTACATTACCTATAGAACTACATTACCTATAGAACTACATTACCTAAAGAACTACATTACCCAGCTGCAGACTGAATAACTACATTACCTATAGAACTACATTACCTACAGAACTACATTACCCAGCTGCAGACTGAATAACTACATTACCTAAAGAACTACATTACCCAGCTGCAGACTGAAGAACTACATTACCCACTGATCTACATTACCTAAAGAACTACATTACCTACAGAACTACATTACCCAGCTGCAGACTGAAGAACTACATTACCTATAGAACTACATTACCTACAGAACTACATTACCTATGGAACTACATTACCCAGCTGCAGACTGAAGAACTACATTACCTACAGAACTACATTACCTATAGAACTACATTACCTAAAGAACTACATTACCTACATTACCTATAGAACTACATTACCTATAGAACTACATTACCTAAAGAACTACATTACCTACAGAACTACATTACCTACAGAACTACATTACCTATAGAACTACATTACCTACAGAACTACATTACCTATAGAACTACATTATCTACAGAACTACATTACCTATAGAACTACATTACCTATAGAACTACATTACCTACAGAACTACATTACCCAGCTGCAGACTGAAGAACTACATTACCTACATAACTACATTACCTACAGAACTACATTACCTACAGAACTACATTACCCAGCTGCAGACTGAAGAACTACATTACCTACAGAACTACATTACCTATAGAACTACATTACCTACAGAACTACATTACCTATATAACTACATTATCTACAGAACTACATTACCTATAGAACTACATTACCTATAGAACTACATTACCTACAGAACTACATTACCCAGCTGCAGACTGAAGAACTACATTACCTACATAACTACATTACCTACAGAACTACATTACCTACAGAACTACATTACCTACAGAACTACATTACCCAGCTGCAGACTGAAGAACTACATTACCTACAGAACTACATTACCTATAGAACTACATTACCTACAGAACTACATTACCTATATAACTACATTATCTACAGAACTACATTACCTATAGAACTACATTACCTATAGAACTACATTACCTACAGAACTACATTACCCAGCTGCAGACTGAAGAACTACATTACCTACATAACTACATTACCTACAGAACTACATTACCTACAGAACTACATTACCTACAGAACTACATTACCCAGCTGCAGACTGAAGAACTACATTACCTACAGACCTACATTACCTATAGAACTACATTACCTAAAGAACTACATTACCTACAGAACTACATTACCTACAGAACTACATTACCTACAGAACTACATTACCTACAGATCTACATTACCTAAAGAACTACATTACCTACAGCACTACATTACCCAGCTGCAGACTGAATAACTACATTACCTACAGAACTACATTACCTATATAACTACATTACCTAAAGAACTACATTACCTACAGAACTACATTACCTACAGAACTACATTACCTATAGAACTACATTACCTATAGAACTACATTACCCAGCTGCAGACTGAAGAACTACATTACCTACAGAACTACATTACCTATAGAACTACATTACCTATAGAACTACATTATCTACAGAACTACATTACCTATAGAACTACATTACCTACAGAACTACATTACCTATATAACTACATTACCCAGCTGCAGACTGAAGAACTACATTACCTACATAACTACATTACCTACAGAACTACATCACCTAAAGAACTACATTACCTACAGAACTACATTACCTAACGAACTACATTACCCAGCTGCAGACTGAAGAACTACATTACCTACAGAACTACATTACCCAGCTGCAGACTGAATAACTACATTACCTACATAATTACATTACCTACAGAACTACATTACCTACAGAACTACATTACCCAGCTGCAGACTGAAGAACTACATTACCTATAGAACTACATTACCTACAGAACTACATTACCCAGCTGCAGCCTGAAGCACTACATTACCTACATAACTACATTACCTACAGAACTACATTACCTACAGAACTACATTACCTATAGAACTACATTACCTACAGAACTACATTACCCAGCTGCAGACTGAAGCACTACATTCCCTACAGAACTACATTACCTACAGAACTACATCACCTAAAGAACTACATTACCTACAGAACTACGTCACCTAACGAACTACATTACCTAACGAACTACATTACCCAGCTGCAGACTGAAGAACTACATTACCTACAGAACTACATTACCCAGCTGCAGACTGAAGAACTACATTACCTACATAATTACATTACCTACAGAACTACATTACCTACAGAACTACATTACCCAGCTGCAGACTGAAGAACTACATTCCCTATAGAACTACATTACCTACAGAACTACATTACCCAGCTGCAGACTGAAGC